CATTTAGTTCTTGCACTCTCCGGCAGCAAGTTGTGTTTTTTGATTATCGTCGTATCGTCGTCGTTTATAAATTGTTGTATATCGGTATAATACACACATCTAGCATACTCACACACACACATACACACACACACATACATAGACATATATACATATACATACACAAATGCATATGCATACATGCAGCGTATGCATCGCGTATATTGTGTGAAACGGTTAAAAATCTACAATTTAGTGCGTGTATTTTAAAACTCATTTCAAGCGAAACAAGTTAAATGTTTTCTTAAAAAAAAATCAAAAGTCAAAATAAGTGAAGAATACACACATATGCATCTATTTTTGCTGCACTCAAATCAAATGAAAATAAAGTAAGCTGAAGCAGAAAAAAGAAAATGTAAAGGCGAATTGCTCTTGTTGTTGTTGTTGTTGTTGCTATTGCTGTTGTAATTGCATATTAGCATGTTAAGTGTGCCCACACCCATGGTCGATTTTTCGCATTTATGTGGGTACATATACACAAACACATACATGCACACATGCACACACATGCACATGGACATACACTCTCGATAGTAAAAACTTGACTCAATGGGCGGCCCAGCGTCGCAGAGCGCATTTCTCTATACTTTGCTGCCAAATGCCGCCTACACACACACACACACACACATTTAGACGCTGCTGCTGCGTTTCGTGCAGCGCCGGCTGCAGCCGACGTTTAACCCAAAAAAAACGCAGTCGACGCTTGCAGCTACTAAGCGCGCTCTCAAGCTTACGCTCTCTCTCCTGCTCTCCTGCTCTCTTGCACTCTTTACATTGCCTAACTTGAGGCGCCGTCGGCTGACAGCTGCTACTGCAGCTGTTGTTAACTGCGCTGCGACTGCATTAACTCTCTTTCTCTTAATATTTGTCTACATTCTGCCGCACCCAAAAGCAAACTGCTGCTGCTGCTTCTTCTTGCTGTTATTTCGTGAGCCTTCGGCTGATTTTTGCTTTTGCTTTTTGCCTATTGCAAGGTGTGTCACTTTTTTGTTTTGTTCTTACGCTTTTGCCAACACTTTGCATGCGATGGGCGAAAAGGAAAGAGGAGAGAACAGAGGAGACGCTTTCGATATATCCTTCGCTTTGCGAGAAGCGTCCATCAATTAAGCGAAAACAATTTGAAGCAATTTATGAATGGAAATTGCCGGTTTGTGTTACATGTATTTTTTTCTTTTTTTTTTTTTAGAGGTGTGTTTGTTTCTAGGAATGGAAATTCTAAGTTTCCGTCTTTTTTTGCATAAATGAGATTAATCGATTGACAGGTGAGTTTGAAGGAATAATGATAATATTGATTTAAACTAAAGAGTTTATTTGATATAAACATTAAAAAGGGTTTATCAAGTGTCTTATTTCTGAAATTAGACATTATAAATTATTACGAAGAATTACAGAAAAGTATATATATATATATATATATATATATATATATATATATATATATATATATATATATATATATATATATTTGATCTTAAATAAAGGAACGCAAAATAATTTAGTGAGGTAGTCGTGGACGTGCTTAGATAAGCAACTATTCAGATTCAATTGTCTATATATGATTATCGTAGAATTGGTAAGCGAAATTAGTATTTTCCATTGTGCTTTGACAGGTGTTTTTTTTTTTATATTTCGCAAACATCTGCTGCGATTCTATTTGAACAGCTGTCTTGCTCAGTTCTGTTAGTTTAACAAATGTTAATTATGTATGTAGGTACATAATAGGTACACAATATGTGTCTGTTCAGGTTACTACGCCATTTTACATGTAATCCAATTATTGCGCCGTGCTTTCTACGTTCTCATATGCACGTGTGTGTACCTACATGTACCTATTTGTACCTATGTCATCATCAGCAAAACATATGTACATACATTACGCAGGGGGAGCTCTCTGATCTAGACAACCACCCGCTAGGTGCAAGCCTTTGCTATTCACTCTCAAACACACACACACACACACACGGACACACGAAGAAGTCAAAACAAAGAGTATAGCAAAGTGCTTGGCTCTCACACAGTACAAATGTACCATTCTCTCGTATTTGAGGTCGCTCTCGCTCTCCCACTGCCTCACACTCTCACACTCTCACTCTCTGCGCCCATGGCTATGCAGGTAATGCGTTGTTTCGGCTGTAGCCATTCATTTGTCTTTGGCTGCGACGGGGCATATAAATAATTTCCATGGCGCTCGCTGAATCAGTTTATTTCTGTTCTGTTGAGTTACAGGAACGTGTTCTTTTTCTACTTTCCGTTTGATTTTATTTCCTTATTATTATTATTATTATTATTGTTGTTATTATTATTATTGTTAAACATTTTTTTTGCGTTCGGTTTGCTTCGGTTTGATTTCGGTTTCGTTTTCGTTTTTATCCGTTTTGTTAACTTTTTTGAAACAAAACCAAAAACCCAACAACAAATTTCAACGTCAATTGCTGATTTGCATAAGTTTTTTTTGCGAAAATTATTCGGGTTGCTTGTTCTCGGGTATTACAAATTCTAATAAGCATAATCCAAAATAGAAAAAGTGTTTCGTAATCGCGTCCAAATTTAAAGAGCAACAAGTTTTTTTTATTTACATTACTCCGTTTTCAGTTTGTTTTCAACACAAAGGTAATATTTTGAATATATATTCTTGCATTTATGTAATTTGCACATGCGATCAAACTGTGGTGAATAATGTCTTCCATATTTCATACATATATACCGAATATATATATGGTATATATATATTTATATGTATGGTTTCCCACATCGCCACTTAACCTCAAAAATGCGTCGCAGCCGCAGCGGCAGCAGAGACACAAACAGAAGCAGCGCAGTCGTTTTGTTATTTTTGAAATATTTCGAAAATATAATTCTTGGTACTTCTACCGGCTCTCGATACATCAGCAAGCCCCTCCCCCCTCCACCCCTCCTTCGCGCCTTTGGCCCCACGAGTTGTTTGTTTATTTTTAAAATATTAGTTTTTCGCACGATTTACGCTGGCAGCGTATGCAAAAATGGCCGAGAAAAACTAAGATAAACCATTTGGCCAAAATACGCAAAGCAATGATGCAAAATGTTGATCTTGATCAAGACAATTAGCAAATCGCATGGAAAACTGAAATGCTTAGATTGCATAAAGATATATATATATATGGTACGAGCTCTACGTTAGTTTGGTTAGCTTTAAAAGACATCATCTTAAAGTGCAAATTTAATTGCAGACTTGTCATCAATTATTTGTGTACTAACAGCTGATCAAGAAACGCCAAACAATGATTCGATTCATATTCAAATAAGTAAATAAGTAAATAAAACATGTATTTAATTCAAAGTACGACACTTATCTATCGTTCATTGTGCATTATCTCTCTGGTATCACAGGGAGAGATACTTTTCGATTTGCTCGATATTATACACATAACCAGCTGATATGGTAACAGCTATACGGTAATAGTTTCGATTTTATTTCCGTTTTGTTTTTCTCTGTCTCTGATATCGAAGTTAAAAGACTCTAAACTCGAAATTTGGAATACATGTTCTTCTAAAGTAAAAGCCCACTGGGGGCTGTAAAATCGATAACAACGATAAGTGCAGATCGATAACACCACAAATATTACGCCATTTAGAAGCTAGAGTCACTCATAAGTTATAAATGTATTATAATTATTTATGATCGTTGGCTGACTTTCATCGAATTAAAAAAAAAAAACCAAACAAGTCAACAGATTTACCGTTGTGTTTTTAGCCAAACGATAAAGAGAGCAGCATTATCTAGTTGGCAAAAAAAAAAAAAAAAACTTGCTGAGTCACAAGTATTCGTATTTTACAAATTCAATGGGCAACTACTGTCAGCATATGTTTGTCCAGTGAAAATACTACTCTACTTCTATCCCGATATTATCAAAACTGACAGAATAATTTACATACAGGTGGTCATGGCTATATCGAATCGGCTATTTATGCTGATCAAGAATATTTTATATACACGTTTTGCAATAAGATACAACAAAATGATAATATTCTCTGAAAATATAATGATGCAATACAAAAAGGATTCTTAACAATTCAAAGTCATTCAATTGGAAGTCATAAATAAATAAATTTATAAATTGTTTCCTCGATCGTTGCTAACGATTTCTTTTATTCAGTAATTAATTTTAATTTGTATATTTCAAAACTGTCAGCATTTCTTTTAAATATGGATACGTTTTAAAATATTTTCTATTATTGCATTATCAGTTACAGGCTGTCAAATCGAACTGAATCTAGAATCCTTTTCTGATTCTGATTCGGGTACGTAATGGTTTGAACAAATCAGTGAGAAAATTCCAGTCGGACATTACTGACTGCAGCATAGTAGAATAATACATGTTGAGCAAAAATTTACATTTATTCAAATGTCAGATCCTTTGAAACACCCTTTAAAAAAGGAAACTACTGTGATAAATTGAGCTCTCTTAGCTATACTGCTTTACGGCTGAATGCGTTGATCAATAAAGATGGCAACTCTGTTAAGGGTAGTTTCTCAGTTGGCCATAGTGTTGCCACAGTTGTCACAGTGTCTGCTTGCCAGTTGCAGATTATCCGCTTCTGCCTTTGACCTGTTTTAATTGCAAAACTATTTGCATTACCGCTGACCCTCTGTCCCCGTCGCCAATTAGCCAATGCGTCATTTGAATTACATCGATTTTTCTGTCAGCTTTCGGATCTAGTATTTGTCAAGTCCGCATCTAGCAGCTGAAAATGGAAATATGGAAAAATGGGCCACAACGGCAGTAGTAGTAACAACAACTGCAAATAGACCACGGTTCAACGATGACATTTCCACGGTTTCATTAAATATAGGTTAAGCACATTGGCTGCTGTTGTTTTTATTGTTGTTCTTTTTTGACGTTTGCTGTTGCATCAAGTTTAAATTGAATTAAAATAATTGATTTTTATTGCACTATTCTTCGTTGCAGTTAACTTTCGGACACACATATAACGTATACGTAGTGGGTACTCAGCATAACAAAGCTATAGTAAAAGCTTTAACCTAAATCAATTTCTGTTTTCCACTTCCGTTTGCCCGTACCGTGCGTCGTGCGTTCTAAGGTGAGTATTATATATATATATCTATATATATATCTATATATGCATATATCTGTATTGAGATTTTACTGATGATAATTTATAATTATTTTTGATTGCAGATTGGAAAAAACACGTCACATCAGTATTATCTTAAAAAGAACTCTACTTAACACTTCACGTTTAATTTTCTTTTGAAAAGAAGAAAGCAGTAAAATTTTTCACTTAATCCTACAATCATCTGTTTTTTCCTTTATTCCTCAACTAAACTTTACCTAATGGATCTGATCAACATTTTCACGAACTCAGCTTGTATTTAGTAAAGTAAAGAAGATCTTGGCAGATTTGTAGTTAGTTCTACCAGTCATAAATATATTTAATATAATATCTATAGATATTTGTTATTGGATGGTATTCATTAGTGTTAAACCCGTTTTCAATTTATTGTACGTAAATTAAGTTTGTTTGGCTTTCTTTTTGAAAAGAATACAGCTTTTGACCACACAACTTCAATTGACATTTTTAAAATTTATTTAGCTATGCAGCCAGTATTAAATCGGATAGAAACAAATCATACAGCTCCATCCAAATAAGCTCTTATATATAGTATTAATATAGAGATATAAATATTTATTACAATTATAAAGTGTATTCAACATAATTGTTGTCTGCATCATTAATATCCTAAGTAAAGTTTAGTTGGGACATGAATTCCGATAAAATCAATATTTATTTTGCATTATTTAATGATTGATATAAAAAAATAGCACTATTATCAGTTAAGAGCTTGTATTAATGACTTCTGTTTCAGTTATCTTTAACAGTGACAGATATTTTTATTATGATGGTTCTATTTTTGTTGTATTTATTTTTCAATATTCAAATGTAAATAGAATTAAATTGATTTTCATACCACTTATTGTGACAGCATCAGCGGCAACAACATGGTTGAGGGTCAGACAGTGGTGCAACAGCAGCAGCTGCAATCGGCAAGTGGCACAGGCAGTGGAACGGCAGCAGCCGGTGGCGCCACCACTGGCGGCGTGGCTAACAATCAGGCGCAACAGAATGGTGGTGCGAGTTCGGCGGCAACTGCAGTCGCTGCTGCTGCTGCTGCTGCTGCTGCTCCGGCAGCAATTGTCAACAATACTGCAGCCAACAATAATAACAACAACAGCAATAACAACAACAACAACAACAACACTGCAGCCACAAACAATAATAACAACAACAATAATAATAATAACAACAACAACAACAACAACGAACCGGATCCCAAAACGAATTTGATTGTGAATTATTTGCCGCAGACAATGTCACAGGACGAGATAAGATCGTTGTTCGTCAGCTTTGGTGAGGTGGAGAGCTGCAAGTTGATACGCGATAAGGTTACAGGTGAGTCGCCGACTTGAACGACTGATTGATACTCTGTTTATTGTTGTATTCTTCCATTCGTTTCGCTTAGGTCAAAGTTTGGGCTATGGCTTTGTGAACTATGTCAAGCAAGAGGATGCAGAGAAGGCGATCAACGCACTCAACGGTCTTCGTCTACAGAACAAAACCATAAAAGTGAGCTTCACAAATAAAGGGTATTCACAGTATTCACAGACGACCCGGTCGAACCTTTTCTTTGACTTTTACAGTTAAAATACATACCATCATTGATCGAAGTTGAGAGTAAATATCTTCAGTGCTGACATTATTGGAAACAAATACCTGATTTATTAGTTTACACTAATGTTGAAAGCAGAATGTGAGATTCAATATGGTATGGCATCAATATTGTTTTCTATGGTATTTATAATACTCCATAGACATACAATTGATGTTTTTGGTTTGTAACTAAATCTAAATCAAGCTCATGTTATTTATTTGAACAAATTCTTTCTTTCTTTCAAAATTAGCTGCATTTTCACTTGTTTTTTAAGAGGTCATCATCTATTGTGAATACCTTAAATGATGTTTAAATAATATACTAATTATTAATAATGATTATATTTGATTGGACATATTTAATTTGACTCTGATTTAGGTCTCCATTGCGCGACCGAGCTCGGAGAGTATCAAGGGCGCCAATTTATATGTATCGGGTCTTCCAAAGAATATGACACAGTCCGATTTGGAATCATTGTTCAGTCCATTCGGCAAAATTATAACTTCGCGTATACTTTGTGATAATATCACTGGTGAGTTCAAGTCGTGTGACTTCTTAACCTCTATATTAGTTATGGCATGTCCATGCTATAGATTCGCGTTTATTTTATTTTATTTTTTTCGAAAATTATTAGTATATTATTTCCGCGTAAATTGAATTTAAAACTATTATTAAACATTGAAAGGATCTAAAACACTTTCTAGGCGAACTGCAAGTATAACTACTACTGGCTCACTTCTAGCATATTCTAGCATGTCTCACATATTTCTTATTATTTATAATATTCAATTACATTAAATAATAGTTTATTCTTTCTGTGTCCAGTGTTCAGTGAGACTGGCATTATTTTTGCCTTAGCGCGCACAATTTATTTCACAGTTCGTTTTGTTGGCGCCAAATTGGTTATAAGTTGACATTTATTCAATAATGCAAAATTTGTTTACGATCTTGTTTTATTTTTCATGTATTTATCAAACTCGAAACAAACACCAAATATAAACCAATAAGATGAACATGCAGCGGGTAGGTTTTTACTTTTGTTTTAGCTGTTTAAATCGCCATTCATCAATTTCTCATTTGCACATTGCTTGGCATCGTTTCAATAGCAAAACTTGATTTGTTTTCCATTTTCTTCAGTTTTTGGTGTTGTTTTTTTTGAGTGTGTTGTTGCCATTTTGAACAAAAGCAAACATAAAACAATGGAAAAATGATTCTTAATTGTTCAAATCAAATATGAAATATTCATTGATCTAAGTAAAACGAAATCATCAAATTATGTTAAAACCTGAATGAATTGACTCGACTAGGTAAAACACTATGGGTTCTTAAGCCTTAAATCCGCTGATATTTTAACATATAAATGTATTGAAGGTAATTTCTCGTTGAGCATGTACGACTATCATTTCTTAAATGTCTATTTTATTTGATGTTATTTTATTGTGGAATATTTTGATTATTACATATTATGTTTTCATTTTGTACTAATGCATTTTTATTTTCATTTCGTTAACGTCACACCAAAACAACCAAATACACAAACAACCAATAAACAAATTACGAAAAGAAGCGCACGACGAAGACACTGACAGTATGTATGAGTAACATTCTACTTGGATATATATTTTATGATTGTTCGATTCGGATTTGCCCGTTTTCGTGTTTTTTTGCTTTGCTTTGTACACCAAAATGATAAAATCTCGCTGCAAATTGCATTTTCATTCGCATTTGTTTGCTGTTCGTTCTTCCTTGATGTGAATTTTATATATTGAATGAGTTTTGGTTTCTTTGCAATTTTCTTCTGTTCATGCGTTTAGGTCTCTCCAAGGGCGTTGGCTTCATACGCTTCGATCAGCGCTTTGAGGCTGATCGCGCCATCAAGGAGCTAAACGGTACCACACCGAAGAATTCCACCGAACCGATAACCGTTAAGTTTGCCAACAATCCGAGCAGCAACAAGAACAGCATGCAACCCCTCGCCGCCTACATAGCGCCACAAAATACTCGGGGCGGACGCGCCTTCCCAGCGAATGCAGCCGCCGGTGCTGCTGCAGCAGCCGCTGCTGCCGCCATTCATCCCAACGCGGGCCGTTACAGGTTAGCACAGCAAGTAATGGCCTACACTCAGAAAAAACAAATCGCTCTACATTTTAGAAAATCATCACACTTTTTTTTATCCAGGGGATAACTCACTTTATTATTAAGAAACTTTATTTCTTAAGTCCAGGGCACATTTTTCGAAAATTTGGAAAAATATGTTTAATTTCCAGTGTATTTCATATGAGCTCCAACATTAGCTTTATAAGCAACATATATTATTAACAAGCATTAGTATTTAAAGATCTTCTTAGAGAGCATTTCATTTTTAAATAGGGTTTTGCATTTCTACTTTTGAAGAATATTTCTTATTTGTATAAAATATATTATTGAAAAATACAAAAGAAGCCTAATTCATTTTTTGGGAACCTTTTTCTAGTTTTCGGGCAGATTTTCTCAAATTTTGCGCTATTTATTTTTTGAGATTAATTTTATAAGGCTCCGCGTTAAGTATTTATTGGTTATTTTAAAGCAGTTTTGAGCTTAGATAAAATTATCTTATTTGAAAATTAATTATTTTAAATTAGTTGGTCTTAAATCAGAAAAGAAGCAACTCAAAAAGTGTTTAATAATCGAATAGAATTTATTAAATCGGCCAAAAATAGTATTAATATTTATTGGATTCGATTAATGTAAGTGGAAAGGGAGGAAAAACACTATCTCAGCTCTCCCTTGAGAGGTTTTTGAGAGGGTGTTGAAGAAGACCCATGGCAAAGTGAGAAGATACAGTAGAGAATAGAAAATAAATTCTGTTGTTTAATTGTTTTAAATGTATTTATTTAATGTGCACTTCAAACAGTTGACAAGTATTAAAAAGGCGTTTAGAAACTTTAAATTTTAAATTACAAAGTAATTTATATAGATTAAGAGAGAAATTTAAACATAAATTAAAAATAAATACAAAATCGTTTATATCATAAATCTGGGATAAAGACAACCTAGAAAAAATCCATCCAAATCAAATATGTGTTAAGCATTAGCTGCTTAGTAATAAGGTTTTCCGATCAAAGCATAAAGCAGAGTTAAGCGCTCTCTCACTTCTTTAATGAATATTAATCAATTAGTTTGTTTAAATATATGTTTGTTGTGCATTTGGTTTTCTAGCTCTGTGATTTCACGCTATTCGCCGCTGGCAAGTGATCTTATTACCAATGGCATGATCCAGGGCAATACCATAACCAGTTCGGGTTGGTGCATTTTCGTCTATAATCTGGCGCCGGAGACCGAGGAGAATGTGCTGTGGCAGCTGTTTGGGCCATTTGGTGCCGTGCAATCCGTTAAGGTGCGCTCAAGTGTCAAGTAAATTGCGTTAGCCTGCGAATTAATTTCTTTTCTACCTGTGCAGGTCATACGCGATTTGCAGAGCAACAAGTGCAAGGGCTTTGGCTTTGTGACCATGACCAACTACGAGGAGGCTGTGCTGGCCATACAATCGCTGAATGGCTACACGCTGGGCAATCGGGTACTTCAGGTCAGCTTTAAGACCAACAAAAATAAGCAAACGTAATTATTAACCAAGTTGGCTGCTGTTGTCAATGCCAATGCGGCGGCAGCGGCGCTGGCTGCCAATAGTTTGGTGCTCAATCATAACAACAACAACTACAATAATCACAATCATAATAACAACCATGGCAACAACGGCAACACTATTGCTGCCTACGACCAGTTTGGCAAACATGCGAATCACAACAGCAACCACAACAGACAGCACAACAGCAACACTAGCAACACTTGCAACACTAGCAAACAAAAGCAGCACACAACGACAAGCTGCAGCAGCAGCAGCAGTAGCAACAACAGACACACTCAGCCACTTTTGGCAGCTGCAACAAAGGCAACTGCAACAGCAACAACATCAGGACTATCAGCAACTGCGAACAATCGCCAGAGCAAACTTACCACAAAGGGCAACAGTTGTAGCAACAACAACAACACAGCAACAACATTTACCAGCAATGGCATCAGCAGCGGCAACAACAGTTATCACAACAATAGCAACAATAACACCTCGTCCCATGAGGGTGGCGCCACTGCATCCAGCTCAAGCAGCATTTTAAAAACTTCCACGAAATTCATTTACAATAAGCCACAAAATCATTTCGAGCTGCTGCAACAGCAGCTGCAACTGCAGCAGGAATTTGCACAGTTCCTTACGAATGTGGCCAATAGTGCAACTGGGGGTGGTGGCGCTGCCGCATCGCAAAATCATAACAACAACAGTAGCAGCAATGCAGCTAGCGGCTCCAATGTGGCACGAAATGCAGCTGGCAACACACACAGTGCTTTGAGCAGCACAACAGCAGCAGCTGCTGGCAACAAGAACAACAACAACAACAGCAGCAATAACAACAACAACAACTATCAATCCTCATTTATGCCATCACACTGGTCAAATTGGTTCTTTTAATTGAATTTACTTTAATTTATTCATTCATTATTCATTACTCATTTATTGTGTACTTACTTTTTCGTAATTCAAACCTTTAAAATATGATACATATTTATGATATATATTTACGTTTTGCCATTGTTATTTGAAGTTAAACGAGTTTTAGTTTTTTAAGCAGTTACGTATTCTGAATTGTTTTTTTTCTTTCAGTTTTTCATATTGTTTTTTTTTTTTGTATTTTATTTTCTTTTTTTTTTTTGATACTGACAAACCGGCAATGCTTTGCCATTATATTTTTCTATATATTTATATTTTATAATATAACAAACATATTTAACAATTCTTGTTTCATTTTGCACTCTAAGCAAACTTTAGTCGTCTCTAGAAAAGAAAACAATGCTACCAAAAAAAATATAAGGTTAAGTTTTTGTTTGACGAAAGCAGCATGTTCTAGAAGTAGTTTAAAAGATTTGGCAATACGAATAAAACTGTAAGGCCAATCCACCAAGTCATGACAAACAGAACAAACAAAACAAAACAAAAAAAGAAAAGAAAAAAAAGAAATAAGAAAATATTTAAGCCTATTGATAAATAATACATGCCCAACAGAACTGAAATACGTATTTGTTTAACGTTTGGCATAGAGTCGGAAACATTTGAAAACAACGACACATTTTCACGATATGTTTATATATATATATATATATCTACTTATTATATATACGAGTAATTGTGTAACTCATAATTAAAATAAAGATCGTATACATTAAAATATACTTATAGACAATTTATTTGAAATTATTCAATTTTAAAATTATTAACCATCACCCAATCATTGTCATGTTTTGCAACTTGTCCACTTTTCAACTGTTTTAACCAATTTCAAAATATATCCTGACGAGCAGCAGTAAAGAAATCGAATGTGCAACAACAAATTACAAATCGGTAAACTAAACAAGAGCTAAACACACAGAGAATTTTTCGAATACAACGAATAAATGTTTAAGAAAAATTTAAAGCAAAACACCAATCAAAAAAAAAATAAATAAAAATAAATGAATTAAAACATAATAATACAAGGCAACTAAAGAACATAATCATAACACACAAAAAAAAAATGCTATAATAAAAATGTTTAAAAACAAATCAATAAATAACAAGTTTTAAAGAAAAAAAAACCAATACCAGCTAAAAATATATGTGCACGCCATTCGAAAAATCTAAGAAATTCAAGAAAAACTCTAACAACAACAAATTCCCTCCCAAGAATGAAGATAAAAACTTAACTTAAACCAAAGTAAAAAGTACGTAAGATACAAATTTGACAAAATGCGTTTCAGCAAAGCGAATTTGTTTCAAGAAACAAACAAAACAGCAATAATAATGGAACAGACAATGAAAGCAAACCAAATCGCCAAATTAAATATTAAACAAAGAAAAGAAAAGAACAAAAAAAAAAAAAAACAAATTTGTATGCAAAAGAACCATTCTCAAAAGAGTGAAACAATTTACGTAATAGTGATGGCAAAGAAATGAAGAAACGTTGAAATGTTTTGACAAAAATTATACATGCATTTAATGGGCCACGTGAGGAAAAAGGCAACAAATGGAAAGAGTATGATCAAACTTCTATAAAATGAAAACATGGTGCTTGAGAGATTTCCTTGTAAAACTAGCTAAATGTACTATTCCCTTATATCAAAAATAAAAAGGTCTTGTTAAAATATGATCACTTTATGTTTACAATTCAATTGTTATATTTGATTAAATCCTTGTACTTTTGCATTCACAATTAAGCGGGAAATGGGAAACTATTTATTCACATATATTCATACTCGTATAATTAATTGCCTATTCAGTTTTTTGTAACACTCATTTCCTGTGCGTAAGTCAAGCCTAAACCATTCACAATGTTAAAACACATTAAACTATGCTATATATATATATTAACTTTATAAAATCTATAACTATTTATGAACAAAAAAAAAAAAAAAACAAAAAACAACAAACAACAAAAGAACAACAACAAGAAAAGTATATTATATATGATTAACAATATATTGATGTTGTGTATTGCAAATTTTAAATGTTTATACATATACATATACATACCAGAAAATTTATTATAAAAACATATTAACTCATGGCATAGGCCACAAAAAGACACTTTCATGTATACGTCAAGTAAATTTATTGCAACTATTTAAAAAGTATTTAAAAACACAACAAATTATATATGTATATGTATATATATTTATATATATATATGTATACATATGTGAATGTATGTATATTTACGATAACGATTATTAAGTATATATGTATGTGTGTAGTGCATAGGCCCAGCGCATAATGCCATAGCCCCTAATATTTGTAGAGAGCTAAACGGCTTATTTCCACTGAAAAACTGAAACACTGAAACATACATACATAAATACGTACTACATACACGATGTGATTAAATCGAATCATTCGTTCCAATCACTCGAAACACTCACATAGCCTACCCATATATTCATGCGCAAATGCTTGACTGAAAAAGATTTAATAAAAAACAAAAGAAGAAAATCATTGCTTTTATGCGATTTATATGAACAGCAACTTCCAGTTAACACTCGAAGCAAGTTCAAGTTCAAGAAGAAGAAAAAGAAAACACTACAAGAAGAAAACACCAAGCAAACCGTTTTTTATAATCAGCCACACACACATTTTTGTGCATGTGCGATCTGAATTAGGAAAAAACTGAGTGCAGAATGCGTAATGCAATTAATTAATGATAACAAGTATAGCAACAAAAAGAACAACAACTAAAAGCAATCGATTATATACATTTTTTAAGACGAAAATGTTTTATAAATAATTCAAAAACAAAAAACCAAGAAAGAAAACAAACAACAAAAAAAAAAACCAAGAAAGTATTTTAAAAATTTAAACATATACATGAGTACTATATATACAATATATTATATTATATATACATATTATATATTTAACGGTATTGGTAACGAACAAAAACACCGCACAATAATATACAAAACAAAAAAACCAAAAAAAAAAAAACAACAAGAAAAATGATGAATACGTAATGACAAACCGCATAGGATCTGATAACAAAAGTTAAACTAATGCAAAAAAGACTAAAACAAAAGAAAACAAAAAGAAAAAGAAAAAGGAAACCAACTAAAAACGAGCAACTTTATAATTTTTACATAAAAAACGCAATAATGTTAACATTTAAAGAAGATGAACGATGAACAGAAAACAAAGCGCATATCTTGAAAACGAAAATAACGAAAAGAGCATGATAATGAAATCTATAATAAAAGATACGAAAAAGTTACCACAAATTTTAACTAAACAAAAATCGAAACAAAGGTCAAAACGCGAAACAGTCGACGTTTAAATATGGTACACTTTTATACTTTTACACCAAAAAATAAGGATAGTGCATACATATATACATATATATATATATATATATATGTATATATATACGCATGTATATATATATGTATATATGTATATAGTCAAAGATCTGGCGATCAAATCGATCGTTAAGTTCGTTGTTCGTCGTTTCGAGGCACATTCGCGTTTGAAACCAAAAAGGTTGTGCATGGCCTGCAGGCGAAACCGGAACCGGAACCGCATTTGGGACTGTTTCCGGCACTTGCAGTGCTCTCTTTAAATGTCTCTCGTACATACATACAAAGAAAATACAAAGAAAACAGAAACACTACTCTCTCTTTAACTCACTACTAACTTACTTAATTGAGTGTTGAATAGTCGAAATCTTCAAATTGTGGCTAAAACAAAGTCATTAACGAATTGATCTAAGTATTTAAAGTGATGTGCTATTGTCTACACATACTAATCAAGCCTGTTGGGCATAGTTTGACAAACTTAACTTAATTGAGCCTCGTCGATGATGATGTGAAGGGGCAGGCGCCTTTTAGAATATTCACATAGCATAACAAATTGATTTCAGTAACCTTCCCGTAATCAAAATGATTGTGAATATCCGTAGTGATTTTTGTTTTAAATATATCATGGGATATTGATTTCAATATGATTCTAGAAATTATTCTCTAAACCGATGTAACCGCTACGAGGCAGAATTGAAATATCTTTCTATGGCTTTGTTTAAAATTACAAATAGACTATTTTTTTTTAGAGATTTATTTTAAAATTTGCTCAAGAATTCCAAGTATCAAAGATATTCGTATTTATCCGAATAACTTAATATTTCCGTACTTTATAGGCATTTTATTTAGATAAATAATTTCCTTTTTAGCAGAACCTTCACATTTCCTGCTCTTATAAGAAAAACATACACAACTTTTGGTAAAAATATTTGCAAAAAAGAAAAACTAACAATGAATAAATATCTATCCAAAAAATATTTCGTAGTGCATGTTATCGGTAAAGTAAAGATTGAAAGATGCTCTCTCTCTATGTGTTTGCATTAAATGTTAAAGCAAAAGAAAAACTACAAAATATATAAATTAAATTAATTATGTATAAACCAAACTTAGTCGAAAACAACTTAGTCAAAGGTACTAATTTTAAGCACTCTTGTTAAATGCGAAGCACATTGCATTACCACTTACTTGGAATGAACGAAGAAATGGAGAATAATCAGCAAAACCGAACGGAAAACTACTGAAAATTGAAAATTGACTTAAAAGGAAAAACGCATTAGTGAAACAGGAAACTTAAGTGGCATCCGTTTATTCAAGCTCAAGCTCAACTTATGCATAATTTAATGAAAGACATATTTAATTCAGCATAAGAAATTAAAGAGGATTCAAATAATTTGTATTATCGTCTATGGTTTTAGCTTACATATAGCACTTGAAGACAACATACTAATTATGCCAGATATATATAAACTATGCAATGTTTTTTTCTCGTCGTTATAAACATAGTCAAAATATTGGTGGGTCGTATCGTATTGTAGTAGCAAATACTTAACTTAATCATGTCAAAAACGAAAACAAAAACCAAAACCAAAACCAAAACAGAAACAACAATTATTCCAATTTAATTAAAAGTGCATATTTATATATTGAATTACTGTCGAATTCTCTCATATGGGGCGTGACAATATTACCACGCCCGCCCATACACTGACACATTCACACCTTAAACAATTTTCTTCGAATTTTCATTCAATTATCTTAAACAATTACAAATGAAAAATAATATGAACAAAACAAATACGAAGCAAATTTATATAGCATATTTATGGTATACTCTGTGCAAGATTTATTAAGAATCAATTAAACTTCATTACGGATTACTCTGAGAATTTACAACAGCAAAACACACACACGAAACACAAGTGAAGAAACAAACAATTTATTCAATAAAGCTATGAAATGATGTGTTTAAAACAAAGTCTCCAAAAGTTATTTGACTCATGGGTTGTTCAAACTGATCTATGGTATCAATAAATATGAAACAGGCTTGGTAAGTAATTTCTTAGTCCTATCAAAATAGCTTAGCTACAACTAGACTTTGGCAATATGCGTAGTTTATGGTTAGCTTCTATTTTCAGCCTAAATGCATACAATGAATATTGTTGTCAATTTTGGATGAAGCTGAACATCTTGTTATTGTGGATGAGTCACAGATTTGACAAGTTATCTGTACCCTTACAAAAGATATTCTGTTACAGCGATGATATATGTTGGAATTGAAAATTTAATTCGAGGAAATGTGTCTTAAAATTTTGTTTTAACTTATTATGTTTGATTTAGAGTGAGAGTTATCAGATATATTAACTATAAAGATTTTTTCTGTTTTTTTTTCTTTTTTTTTAAATCTATTTTCAATCTTTTGTGTATTTATACGCTGAATATAAAAATTACTCTTATTTGCTTTATTTGTATTTATTAAATGTAGACAAAATATACAAGATATATATAAATAATAATATATATATATATATCTGTCTCAAAATTCAGGTTTCTTAATAATTTTTTGCCCGAAAAGATGCGGAACTGCAACTTAAAGTGCAAAGTTTAAAACTGAAAACGTTGCATATTTTTCGATTTGTAAGCACCCCATAAAAATGCTGTCAAATTGGGTGAGAAGACTTAAAATCTCGCCTCCTTCTCTATCTCTCTCTGTCTTTCTCCCTCGCTCTCGCTCTCTCTCTCTCTCTCTCTCTATCTCTATCTCTGCCTGTCTATTGCTCGATGTGTCTATCTGCAGCTGCTTAAAGTGTAGTGTGCTTTCAGGTGGACACATAAATTGCGAGCAAGGCAAGCTGTGGTCCGCCTGGGCGTGTGCTGTGCGAAAATCTTACATAAATTTCAGAGGCATGCAGCGTGCGGACAGTTGGGATGGCTGCAGCAGTGGCAGTGGCAGTGGCAGTGGCAGCCACAAAGTAGGTAAGGCAATGGTCTTTGGGTTTATGTAATGCATTTGGAACAGTTGAGCAGTTAAAGTGTGGAACTAAGAGTTACGTTCAAAATATTCCGGAGGTATGAATACCCAGTTCTTGGCCAGATCGTTCATAGCCTCCACCATGAGGCGACTGAGTATGGCCATGATAGTGCTATAGGGACACAAGTAAATCATTAATAATGTTATTCTTAAAAAGTGAAACAGTCGAATTTCTCTAAACCAAAACACCTTTCGACTATTTCATCCATATATCTATCCGTCGAAATATTAATTAATTTTGTCTTCAATCAAAATTTGACTATAAAAAAATATTGAGATTGTTCGATGGGTCGATGGAGTTGGAGAACTTCGACTTTAGGTCTTTTAAAGCACTCACTTGTGGTCAACAAATGTTTTATTCACAACTGGCTGCGGAATGGGATCCACAGCTACCACCTGGTCATAGGTCTTGTCAAACTTGTCGCGTGTGCGTTCGGGGCTGATGCGCATAAAATTTGACTTGGATAAATACTTCCAGAAAAGTTTCTCGAATATGGTGATACGATGATCGATGGCCATGCTCAGCTCAATGATTTCATTTGCGTTCAGTTTGCGCTTCATTGAGAGACGTTTCACAATTGCCTCACGCTCCGCCTGTTTTTTCTGCTCTTCGGTGTGGCCGTCGTCGGCGCCATCCGGATTGAGACCCACTCCGCCGCAGGGCATGCAGGTGCCGTCAATGATATCGTCAGTGTTATCGTCCTGCTTGTTGTTGGGGTTCCGAACTTGGACGCGTATATTGAGTTGCAAAAATACATGCTCCAAGTAGCTATCATCCTGCCACTTGGGATCGTCAATGGACTCGATTTCGGTTAGCTCAGCCTTGGCTATCAGTGTGGCCGCATCCAGAATGCGATGCACCTCCAGAACAATGGGTATGCGACGAAAGAAGATGAGGCGCTCATAGCTGGCTACCCTAATCTCGCAGAGCTTTGAGTGGTGACCCTTCAAACGAAAAATGCTCGGCTCGAAAGTAACCGCAAAGAAATCGCTGATGATGTAGCTGGAGGTGAAATAAAGGAATATAGAAATATTCAAATAGAGATAGAGATGGAGACAGATAGAGAGAGTGAGAGACGGAGTCCTTGGCACCTACTTTTGCCAGCGAAACTCCATGCACTTCTGCCCATAGTTGTGCACATTCACCAACTGTGTGCGATTCTCTTTGATGCACAGTTCAAAGTTAATGCGATTCGGATATATTGTATAGAGATAGTCCGCAGACTCCCTGTCCTTGAGCGGCATATCGGTGACCTCGTTCTCATCTGTGATAACGCCACGTGCCTTTATTTTATAATGCGCCTTGTTACTCTCATAGGTGAGCAGCACTTCGATCTTGCAGGAAAAGAGTTGGTAACAAATGAAATAAAATCAAATAATTCAATAGGGTTGTTCTATTCCTATCATATTTATGGTATTTCAAAAATGATAATTATAAATACTATATTTGCATTCAGTTGTGCTATGCTGATAAAGCTTTTCTCTTTTGTAGAGTACAACTAACAAAATTCATAAACATTTCTTTTTTTTTTTTGTGATTTTATAAATGTATTAGACAAATGTTTATCAAGCTAAAATGCAGGTATAATATAGATCTAAAAAGCTGCAATAGATTGCTATAGTAATTTAAGAACACCTTCATATTTTTAATAAAAATTTACTGTTTTCTGCTCACTTTTGCCCTGGTTCCTACTTAAGCCTTAAAAGTAGTAAAAAGATTATTGACTTTTCATAGAATACAATTTACATCTTTTGCAGCAACTTCTGGCACACATCCTTATATATATATAACCTAATTTTGAACTTACCTCATTTTCATAGTCCACGGGTCGATATTCGACGAGCAGGGGCCAAACACTCTGCCTGGGCACGATTAGATTCGAGTTGTGCAGCCTCAAGCCGCGTTCACGAGATGAGAATGTGAATGAAAGGTGTGCCATAGTTATATTCTGCACCCAAATCGGCTGAGTAATGTGCTGGAAGTGTTTTATGTTAATGGGCAGCAGTTCCTTGGTGAGCAAACATTTTTCCGGATCAAACGCCGATATTTCCAACTTAAAAGTCCACACAAATTTGCGATTGTCGCCAGTGCTGTCAATAGCACGGATATTCAATTGATTAAATTGATCAAGGAATGAATTTGGTAGCTAATACTAACTGGACCTCATAGGTAAGATAGTGTTCGCCATAGAGAAAGAAATAGGCGGTCACCGACAGGGGAAGCACCTCATCTGGCTCCAGATTGAGCACCTCCTGGCTGACATGGATGAGCCGGCGATGCGGGCAGTGGAACAGCTGCCGGAACTGATTGAACCCGACGCGAGTTTGCAATGGCTGACACTGACAGTTCTGTATGCGCTTCAGTTTCAATTGCAGCTTCTGGCCGGACATGTTCCGCAGCCAGAACATCATCTTGAGTGGTGGACTTTGGATCTGGCGCACGGGCACGGACAGGATATGCTCAGACTCCTGCTTGTTCGAGCGGAGCTTCTTGTTGAGGCTGTGTCGGGGGGCGATTATAGTTCTCGGCTGGTTGGTGTTACACTGTGATCAACGAGTAACCCACCCGGTTATATCAAAACTTTCCCAATAGTACAACTTGAGTAAGGGCGATCGGATAACCGTCAGGTTTTCCACCATCAACTTCTGATAGATTGCCGCTGACTTAATGACTCCCGTGCAGGGAGATTTTCCAGTTTTTCCCGTTTGTGTTTGTTTCATGTTTTCTTTTTTTTTTAAATTTTTTAATTTGTGTTAGCACTCAATAGGTTGCTTCGATTTTGAGAAGTACGAAACTCAAATTGAGTTCGAAATTTATTTGACCAAGGTTGCCACCCCACTTGACAGCTTCCGTTGCTCGGCCTTAGCACGTTCCTCTAATGCCGTTCGAAGTTTGCACAGCACGCCCCGAGGCGCACCTGCGCAAATTTGTTGCCCAAGTTCATACATAAATATTCATATTCATATATTTGGTCAGTCGCACATGCATATGTATGTATGTAAGTCAGCCGAGTCAGCTTTCCACACACACTATTTTTACCTAGGGGCCTTAGAACTGTAGAGGGTTGTGAGGTGCTTGTGCTATGCACACACACATTTCGAATCTTTTTGCATGCAAATGTATTTTAAACAAAGATAAAATCTATATTTATGCCTTCAAATTTATCCTATTCACTTTAGAATTCATGAATTCCATTTTCAAATTCCATTGGAACCTAAATTGAAAATGTTTGTTAGCTAGGAAATCCTTTTCAATTTATATTTCATAATTTTTACAACTTTCATAGCAAAAATAACCATCCTTCCACATTTTCTTTACTTAACAGCATCTTCAAGGAACACGAGCTGCACGAGTTATTTTTATGTACACTATAATATTTAATACTTAAAAAATATTTGGTTTGCCAATTGAAATAAAACTTTTTTAATATAGCTTTAGCTGGCCTTAAGTTAAAATTCGACAGACAATAAAACGTTCTGAAAAATAGTTCGTTCATTTTATTTATCTATTTAATCTAGTCAAAAGGCAGTCCACACAATTTAAAAGATTTAAAAAATAAAAATTGTAACAATAATTTTACTTAAAAGTTAAATTGTTTCAAATGAACTAGAAAAAGGAGATTAATATTTAAAATGTATAAATGGGATTTAAAAATGTCTGTGACCGTGCCTTATCTTGAATTGTTTTAAAATTGTTTTAAGATGCATTTTTCTTGAATAAAATAAGTTCAAAAAGTCTAAGATATTTTGGGAAAAATTACAAATAGCTCAAAGCAAATGATAAGCGACCTGCGCTGGCATCGTTCCAAACTTTGCCTGACTGAGAAGTCAAATGTCAAAATGATATACATATATATACCCTATGCGGTATGCTGAAGTGTATATAATTATGTTGTGAGGGCTGAAGTTTTACATCTAAACCTCTGTAACAGATTTTTTGTATACCATATAACTACATTTAATCTATTCAATTAATAAGTCATGTTATTCAAAAGATATATTGTAATAATTATTTCCTTACACAATTCAATGCAATTTAATAAATTGCATTTAATGTGAGATAAGTGTTATTATATATATATATATATATATATATATATATTCCATATAGCAACGGTAAAAATAGCAAACAAATTGATGAAGTACTCAAAAATCACCACAATAAGAACACCCAATGCCAATTGCAGGGTATGCGAAAGTCGCAGAATCCCAGCATTGTCATTGCTGCATCTTATGGTTTTATTTTTATGGTGCTTGAGTGCTTGGAGCGTAGGCGGCAGTGGCAAACAATCAAAACAATAGCCAGGACTTTGACGGAAGTAACCAACATGTATGCATGACTACGCCAACAATCTAGATGCAGGGGATGGTACTAGCTGCACACCTGTCCACCCCCCCTCCGCTCTCCGCCCCCCCATATGTACTTTCCGCTTTTCCCACAGGGCAACAGACGATGTCGTGCAATTCGTTTTGTTTGTCAATCGACAAAGTGCCAAAGGGCAAAGCCGTGCAAATGTGTAAGTGCGTGTGTGTGTCTCTCTCTGTGTGTGTGTTTGTGTGTGTGTGTTTTGTTATTGTAATTGTGAGTGTGAGTGTGGCTGAGTGCGGCAAACAAACGAGCAAGAAAAAGACATTAGTGCCACCAACGCGCCTGTCAAAAACACAGAAAAACACCAAACCCCAAACCCCAAACCCGAGCTCAAAGCGACTATATCATGTGTGGGAGCTGCCAGTTGCTGCCAGTTGCAGCGAGCCTTGTGCATTGAGGCATTGAGGCAACATCATTTACAGTTAGTGCGCTGACAATTGCAGCCAAGAAGTGCATGTAAGCGACAATTAGATGGCCTCAGCAGTGCGCACAGTGGATTCCCAGCAATCTTCAAATACCAAAGACGGTTGCGATTACGTGCAGTTTAAATTAAGTGACTGGGATTTATTATCTCAACAATTTTTGTATAGCATACAATTTATTCAAATATTAAGAAAATAAAGAACAAGTATCTGCCTTGCAGTTTGATTTGTAAAGCAATGACTAGTTTGAAAAATACATATAATTGTGCTATTAATCATCAATTTATTTCTAAATACCAAATAAAATATTTTTATTATGTTTCTGTTCCCCCTAAACCTACCTGCTACTAAATATTCATTGTCTGAATTTTTTCGAGAAAAGATTACAATAAAAAGAAAGATTACAATTGACATTAGCATGTAGTAAATTCAGAGTCCTCTATTTCTCTTATTAATAACTCAATATCGCATGCATCTTAACTGATTGTTCTAATTGGATTTTTCGGGGTCTGCCGCGATCCATGCAACAACAAAATGTTGATCAATTTTGCATTTAAAATCTACAGGAATCTTTGATTTTTTTTACAAAATTGATTTGTAATCATTAATTGAATTTTGTTGTCGAATTTTTTGTGTATCCACAGGCAAATATTAAATAAATAAATAATGATTCTAATCAAAGCAAGTCTCAACTGTGCTCTTAATCAATGAGCTGCACATCAATCACAACATTTGACACATCCACTTTCGTGCTCATCAATCGACCCTTTTCGCCGGGTTTTTCACTGCGATACCCTACAATAACAACGGCCAAAGAGCATGACCAGAAGACAAGACAATTGTCGCTCGTCAGCAGCAAAATCTCAGTCTGTTTCTGTCGTTTGTCGTTGTCGGTGTTTTTCTTGTTGTGTCCTTGTTGCCGTTGAGTGTGTCACCATTTCCAGCGTTCCGATGCACTCAAAAGCCACTCAGTCATTCAGTCCGTTTCCAGTCGTTCCTGCTGCAGTCACTGGCCGTATTCTAATTAAATGTCTGTGAAGTGCATTTTTCTAGGAACATTTGTTGAGTTTTGTTTGGCGACAACTTGTTGGCCAATTGTTGAGGTTTGACTTTGAAGAACTTTTAATGTTGCGTTCAACCGTTTAGCGGCTGCATTCGAAAGTCAATCAAAAAACCTCAAGTACTTTGCAAAGTACTCTCTCGCAAATTTATAGAACTAGTCAGTCGCGTAACGCATAATTATGGCATCATTTGCAACTTCAGCTACAGTAATTAACTGCAAAAAAATAAGAATAAAAAAAAATACGATTAAAACTACATATATGAAATAGAAGTTGCCGACTGCTAGGTACTCTTTTTTGAGAGTGTAATATATTATAAGGATATTGCTATATTTAAAATTAGCTAAGTAATGGTCAAAAATATTTCAAACTTTCCGTGAAGGTAATCGATTTTCATATTTATGTTCGCTTGGCTTTTCTTTTTAAATATGGAATAAAACTCATAAGCGAATTGCATTAGCTCACTTTCATTTTTGTAAGCAGAGTATTCATTGTAATTGTTCGCTGTTCGATGCTTTAAGAGCATAGGGTAATTATAAAGTTTTTATTCAACTACATTTATACCTGCCAGCTTGGGTCTCAGTCTCTGCTTCAGCATTCTTTCCTTTATGCATCGAGCAAAGAACAGTTTCAGCCAAAAGGGGTAAGGTCAACCTGTGAAAATCGCTGTTAAAATATTATTCATTTATTGAATGTTGACTAAAATCAGTCAATATACACAAATATAAAAAATAAATAGAATTATTGAAAAATTACATATGTTTAATTTGTATTATAATTACTAAAGATTTAATGTAGACTTATTTAAAAATGTACAAAATGAAGAATTGATGTGCAGTTTTCGATTTGTGAGTTTTTTTTAAAGATCATCAGAGGTGGATTAAGTATATTGTATTATTATATAAGTGTAGGTATGCTTTATAAGCAATTCCCAGATCAGTTCGGAGAGTAATTCACTTTTAGGTAACATCCTTTTTTAGCTTCACGGTAGAAAAGTATGTCCATTCAGGGTTATGTTTTTATATGTTTACACAGAACTCTAAAATACGTTTTATTGTTACTTATATTTTTATAAGTTTATATATTATATGAGTTGAGTGATTTCCAGCTGAGCTATGCAGTCTTAAAAGCATAAAACAGTTCAACTCTGTAATCGAGATAATTTTCAAAAATATGTTTTGAAATTCAGCAAGGATTTTTTGTAAGAATAAAGTCATTCTAATCTAAAGAAATGTGTTAATTTTTTATAATATTTATTTATTTATTTATTTCAAACTTATATCGTTTTAATTTTTGATCGATGGATTGATTACTTGGCCCTGTTGGGCTTGTGATTGAAACGAATAAGATGCTAAGAGTCTATTGTTAAAAGTGCTTACTCTTAAATGGGGGCATGGAAGTTGGTAACACTCCACATTCGCAATACAATTTTTGATGCGGCAGCAAGAATTGCAACTCGAAATGAAAATGCTTGGAAATGGAAATGGTTGCTGCAGGCTGCAGCAAACAATTATTGTTACTTCAATCGAAATGTAGCGCTGACTATATAGGGGTATATACCCCTAAGCCCACTTCAAACGACCCTCCGCCCAGAACTGTGTCAACACGCAACTCTTTGCACGATACCATCAAAAATATACACCTCTCAGCAATAAATTCAGCCGATGCGATGCACATCAGCACTTAAGGGAGGTGGTGAGGGGAACGTGAAGGGGCAAGGGAGAATTGGCTGTGTTGCAGCGCAAGTTGTGGCATCAGCCAGCTCATTGTAATGCAAATTGCGTATACGGCAAGTTGCCTGCTCATGCTACTGCTGCTTGTGCTGCTGCTGCTGCTGCTGGCATACCAACTGAAGTTAATTTGACAAAATTTTACTTTTTTTTTGGTGGTAT